TATTGAGGTTGGGTCACTAGCTGAATATCACGGTTGGTTGCTGCATGTGGTTCGCTAACAGAATGGCATTATCACTCACTGAATTCAGTTTATTTGTTGAATTCCATGTTATTGGCCGAAATTTCTGGAGTGGGGAAGGAAATGCGTGAGAGTAAGAGCATGCTTTATAAATCAATGGAAAAGCTACAGCTTGATCTAGCCGAGATAAGATAACTTTGATCTTTATAGGTGTGGTATACTCAAATAAAATGTTCATGCAAAAATCTGAAAGTCTTTATTTATTGGGAATACAAATCATATATACTGATGCTACTTTATTTCTTAATTTCTATTATCTTGTTCATTCTAAATGCAGAAACGTGCTTATAATGTTGATCCCATTGAGAATGGTTTGTGCTCTGTTGTGTTTTATCATTTTGTTGGTTTTCATATGCTGCAAATTTGCTAGATTTAGCTCTTTTCAGATTTCTTGTTGTGTTTCCCCCGTCCCTAACATCGGCCAGGATTTACTGCTAATTCTTGCTTTTTGAACCTTTGTTGCTTCTTAATGGATTCTGCGTTTACTACAAGAAGGATTCATCTTTGATTTGGGCAATGAGATAAGGAAAATTCACATATATATATACCACCGAAATTTTAAATGGTTGTTTTCTGCTCTATATTTGTGTCAATTTGAGAAGATTTAGGGGGCACTTCACTATTCAGTGTCGTTCCGATTTATGAAATCTGAAAATTTCGTTACCTTATTTGCAAAGGTTGGAAGCCTTGAAGCATGTTTTGCAAAATATGAAACATTTGGGTGGCGCATTTGCAAAATCTGAAATATTTGGGAGACATATTTGCAAAATATAAAACATTTGGGTGGCGCATTTGCAAAATCCGAAACATTTGAGTGGCACATTTGCAAAATCTTAAACATTTAGGTGGCACATTTGTAAAATCTGAAAACTTTGGGAGCTTTCATTTGCTCCCTCTTGCTCCTTAGTTGAAATAAGTTTAAATCATGATTATTGCCACATTCTAGTTTACATTTTGGCAAGCTTGGAAAGTTGCGATGCCTCACTTTTACGAAAATCTGAAAGTTTACATGCTACATTTGCAAAGCTTTGAAAGTTTATAAATGCTTTGGTGTTATACTCATGTGAAAATCTGAGATGTTGCATATTCTCTTTGCAAAGGTTTATGGCTTTGGTGCTTTACATTTGCAAAAGTTAAAACTTCTCATATTCAATTTGGAGGGTTTGGAAGGTGGCAATGCTTTACTTCTTTTTTTTTGGAAAATTAAGAAAGTCTCAATGCTTTACTTTTGCAAAACTTGAAAGTTTAAGTGTTTTATTGGAAAATTTGGAAGTCTTTCTGAGTAATTTTGATTTTTGAAGATTTGAAAGTCTTTGGAGCTTTTTTTTTTGAAAATTTGAATTGTTTCATTGGGAGAAAGCAAGATTTACGTTATTTTAAGTGTTATATTCTTGTTGGCTTGTAAACTTCAAATGCTCTTTTCGAGTCTAATTTGTTTGACGTTTTTAGGAGTTGATTTGATTATTTGCTTTTAAAAGAATTTAAACGTCTTTAGGCCGATTCACTTGCGGTTTTGCCCCTTACTTAGCTGATTTGTTTTTAGAAGTGGGTCGGCCTCCATTTTTCGTTGATTTGTTTTTGTTACTATGGTTAAGTTAAAAATGAGAAATTCTGATTTAGTTATTTTCAGGATTGATTCACGCCTTAAAAAAAAAAGGGGGAAGAAAATAAAAAATAAAAAAAATGATAATTGGTCTGTTGAGATGATTGAAACCCAAGGAGAAATAGAGAAGCAAACCATTCACTTTTTTTACATAAGAAGGATAAAACTGTAATTGTGAGAATTGTTGAGAATTAGGAGAAAGAGCTCTTTTGTTTTAATTAGAATTGAAACACATTTCATTAGGATTGAAACATCAATTAAGACCCCTAAGCATTGGTTAGACTTAAGCTCAATTGTTTTAATTATAATTGAAACACATTTCATGAAAATTTTTGACAAAATTATAGATCTACCCCTTAGGTCTTAAGAGCATGATAGTGAGCTAAGTTTGATCAAAAAATGTTCGAGAATTAGTTGTAAAACACTTAATTGAAGACATAATACTTTAAAACACTTGAAGCTCGAGTTAAAATGTAGGCTTCCTAGATTATAGGAGCACACCCTATGTTAGAGTTCATCTACCTAATTTTCAAATGGATATTGAAGCTAGACACCTGACCCTAATTCATAAGTTAGTTAAAGCAATAGACAGGATATGCATCAGATTGTGATTCATGGCTGATTTAATTAAATCAAATGATGAAATTCTCTTCATAACTTGACCTAAAATGAAACACTGCTCCGGGATTTGAGCTTGGATCTTACACTTAAATCCTCCTGGCAATTGGGGACATTCTCAATGTCACATAAAAATCACCCCCTTCTTCTTTTATATGTGATGTATTTTATTTTATTTGTTTGTCTTTTTTCTACGATTTGTTTCGAGTCTCTGTGGGTCGATTTCAGTTTTCCTCAAGACTTTCCATGTGTTACTCAGTCATTTATTATCATATACATAAACATATGTCTGTCCTGCTAGCTGAATTTCTCTACTATGTTGTTATCTGCGACGCTGATCCCATTTATTTACAGGAGGATTCCATTTACAGGAGCAGCAATAACAAGAAACTCAGGTACCCAAAGTTTACAGTACATTTATAGCACTTTATTGCATTTCCTTATACTGTTTTTTTTTTTTTCATTTACTGAACTTATAGGATAGCTAGTTTATGCATTCTCTAAATTAACTACAAAACATTTTGGATATAGTCTGGTTTAGGAGGTATATAATGGTAAGTCACCAAATAACAATATTGCACACTCACATATAAGACATTAAACATGAAACTGCTACTACATGGAGTATGAAGCAACTCTTCGTGGGCAACACGACCGTGACGTAGCGGACGAAGGATGACGATCTGTTACATCAAAACAAGTCCATATCAGCTAAATATTTTTGTACAATAAATAACATAACCAATAGGACTTGATGTAGTTTGTTTAACGCAACATAAATCCTTACTTTGTCTTTAGGCTTTCGCACAACCCTGTTATGCAATTATAATTCCTAACACTTTTTAGGATTCCGAGGTTATCGTACGGTACGGTGTACATCCTCCTATCTTTCTAGGCTATTTGCACGATCGGATATCGTGTGAATGTAAGTCCTAAATTTTAAAATAAATTGCAGGATTAAACATTGAATAACATCATTTCAAAGACATAAAACCAAACAATAGAAAAGTTGGGAGGTCACCGGGGTTTTCCTTGGAGTCGTGATATCCCCTACTCGTCATTCCTTTGGATTCCTTAAAATAGCTGTTCCTATTTGAGCCACTCTCATTTCACTTTTCGTGTCCAATCTTGGAAACCTAAACTTTGAAGTCTTGAAGGCAGAACCACTGATCTTAATAAAGTCTTCTTAAGTGACCCCGATCATTTAAGATGTAATTAAGTATAAAGGTTTGTCTCTATAGAGAACTTGGAACCCAGGTAAAATAAACGTTATCTAATTCTTATATTAGATAGAGGAACTTGTCGGCCCATATAAAAGGTTTTGCAGATCAAACAGGTGTCACAAAATTCTTTGGTTTGGGTGGTTGAGTCTACTACAAGTGATATGTTTAACCTTCGGGATAGTTTATTACAAGTGGTATCGCGCTCAACCATCTAAACTATTCAATATGTGAGACTCGTTTGGTCTCATCTTTTTCAAAATTAAAATATTATTTTCAAAAATAAAAAATCACATATTTATATTAAAACTATTTTCATATTTACAAAAATCATTCTTTCCAAAATAACAGCCGACAGACACCTACACCATCCACCTTTGATTCAAAACTCTCAGGTGATATTGTCATTACTCTTACCCCCCAACATTAAGGAGGAATTGCTGCGGGACATTCTTCCTGATCGTTTGGGGTGGAAACTTGACATTACAAACTTCGTAACATCTCACCTTTGCATGGAGCATTTATTGTATCATTGGAATCTGTCACTATACCCAAGTGTTGGCAGATAGCTAAGGAGGATCCTAAGAAGAAAGAGGCAATGCATGAAGAGCTTGGGGCTATTGATAAAAATCAAACATGGGAGATTGTACCACTACCAGCGAGAAAGAAAGCAGTTGGGTGTAACCTCCATCCATCATTCACTGTTAGAGAAACGAGTGTACTTATCGTGCTCATCTTTGCTAAAGGTGCAAAGGTTTCATCAGAGTCAATGTCATATATCTAACTGTACTTTTTTGCCACCAATTGAGCTTTATACCTCTCCACCTTCCCTTCCGGAGTTTGCTTTATCGTGAAGATCCACTTGCGGAGTTAATTAGATTATGTGACAAGATGAGCTTAGTGAATATCTGTCTCCCTCCTTGAGGGGAAGTATTGAGATTTGTATCTAATGTAGGGTTCTAATTGTAAATAGAAGAATTCTAGGAGTTTATTTTAAATGTTGTGTGGCAATGAACAAGATGATTATTGCAAAATCATTCTCAATGGGATGAGATTAAGAAGTTTGGGAGGTGACAAGTTTGTCGAGAGATTCCATTCACATGAGAATGGTCGCAGAGCAAATGTCGCCAAAAGATAAGTGTACCCTATAAAAAATATTTTATCATAATTTACAAATCATTTAAATTTAATTTGAGACAATATTCCCAAATGATGTTTTCGCCCACAAAAATAGTAAAAAAACAAATAGCACAATGGATCAATCATAAATTCAAACAAATGGTTTGGTTTCCTCCATAGTAACCAGCGAGTTACCCTAACTACAATATATTTTTGGAAATGCTAACATGATCACAATGCATAGCTAAAATGCAAATCGAATGAACTCACGGTAAAAGCTGGATAGCAAGAATAAATTACATTGCTGAAAAGTCTAGGAAATAAATAAAGAAGAGCATGCATAAGTAATAATTTTGTAGTACCTTAATTTCAAGGTCTGAATATGGGTTTGCTCTTGACCTGTAAAAATGAACCAATCCACATATCAACAAATGCACCAAAAAAAAATCCTATTTAAAAGAATATGTATGGCATTCAATGTCCACATGGGACTAAATTTTTAATAAAAATATACACTCGAGATATTATTGGCAAACAAAATGAATGACAGAACCAGGATATAAACAGTGTCTTGCAACAAAATATATAATAAAAAATCCAGCGTAAAGATATTTAGACTGCTGGGCTTGTTCCAGGGATCTCACAGCATACCATCTTCACAACATTAAGAATGACAAATTAAATTAGACGCATGATCACTCAAACATAAAGTATTTATTCTACCATAAGTTTTTATTTCATTAAGGACAAATTTGACAAATCCTTTCTGAAAACTTCACAGTAATTACGAGACACTGTTTTGGAAATGAATGAAAAATCAACTACTTCATGAAGTTAAGAAATTTCTTCACAGTTTTTATTATGTTTGTCAACCCATTTCAGAGCAGATTCAATAAACAGAAAATAATAATAATAATAATAATAAGAAGAAGAAAAATTATACCTGTCGAGGCCTAAAACTGCATAATGGTGTGACCAAATATAATGTCCGCTTGGTCTAGGGCCCCTAGGTGCTGCTCTAAAATTAGGTTTACTCTCTTTGAAAGAAATATCTTCCTCCCAATACCAATCATTCCTTGGGGAATGCTGATAAGCACCAGGTCCTCCTTGATTCTGCCAGCTCTCATAAGTCTTCTTGATTTTACTTCTCTCTCTGTTAAACACACTTTGCATACGTCTTATACGCTCCTATAACGGGAACTCATTAGGCCCAAAAAAACAAGAGCACCATAAAAAAAAATGACATGACATGATAACTTACTAAAATAACTATACATACAATTTTTAATTCTCAAATCAACAACAAATAGCTAATGGGCCATTTGGAATCACTTCTCTATTTTTTTTTAATTGTTTTGCATTTTTTTTCTCTAAACTGAAAAAAAAAAGTTTTGCACTCTTATGTACTTAATATTTTCAACACAAAAATTGTCATTTCTTTCAACATTTCTCAATGATAGCATGCTTGTTTAAATATTCAAAGTATGTACTTCAAATAAAGGTGTAGTAAACTAGAGCAAGGCCATTATTATAGGAAGTGTATTACTAATCATTTCAAAAAACTTTTCGCAATATAGTTAAGGCTTCAAATACTATTAGGATACATAAATCATTTGACTAGTCATTCTAAAATAGTTAAAGCTAACCTGCATGTGATTATTTTCTTCCAAATGAAAGCTTTTTACAATATAATCATGATTTTCACCAAAATCGTGTCCTAGAGGCAGTTGTAAGCACAAAATGTTTTACGTTTTAGAGAGGAAGAAAAAATTTATAATGCATTTGATAAGTTAGCCATTTCAAATGATTTGTAAATTACATGCGAAACCAAACAACTGTTTAAAATTTCTACTCAACCAGTTGGCAATAGCTATAATTTATACTTCCATAAAAATGCACCAGAAACATTTAAAACACAAGTTTTCTAACAGGCTAGTTAACATCATCCAAATTTAACAAAGATTGATAGCATACATAGAGCAAGCAAAATCCTCATAAGATAACACATATCTTTTAACTATGAAACTTAAACAAGTCTTAGACCCATGTAATAGCACATCAATAAAACAAAGCATGTATGTCACACGAATGGTGCCAGCTCGATATAATTAGCTGTTAACTAAGCAAACAGAAGCTCAGCATCAAGCAAGACATAAGCAAACTGCCATTGCAATCTGAAACTTATAAAGAAAAATCACCACCAAGCCATAATGAGTAAAAGGGAGCTTAATAGCATATTGTTCTGCCAGAATATCTAAGAAAAAACGTATCACACTACTCCATATTTACTTGTATCATGTGCATATCATGTAAAAATTTTAAGTAATGTAATAATGTATTCAATAGCATTAATTTCCAGCCACTTGCATTCAAGCTGAAAAATAAAAATATAAAAATACAAAGAATAAAGTAATAAAAAAAAATACTTGAAATAAAAAACATTCAAGAGAATAAGAAGTCAACTTAAGAACAATAAGTATCGGCAATGTGAAGCAAGGCTTATTTTGAAGATGAGGCACTGAGAAGCATAGTGAAAAAAAAACAAACGTTTAAAGAAAGGACTAATTAGAAGCATATCATAAAACTAGCAGATGAGACATCATGCCAAAGAGAACCAACATAAACGAATAGCTCCTCTGGGAGAATGAAGAACAAGCAATGATTCAATAAATTCAAGAAAATATGAGGATAAGCAAACGTTTGAGCTCTAGCTAGCATTGCCTACGCTAAAATAAACAATAAAATCTAAATTAGGATTTCATTCAAAGCTAGAGCCCAAACAAACAACACTAAAACAACACATGCTTGGTTAAAAAGGTAATGTGTTGGGCCAGCACATTGCTTCGCTTCTCCTAAAGCACACTTTAAAGTGTGCTTTTAATAGCATCGATGTGAACATCAATTCAAATAGTATAACCATGTTTCACGCCCAATTTTGTGTATTTTCATAATTCAGTTCAAAATGTCTTTTTAAATAAAATCTAAGCTAATTAGCCTTATCTCATTCTTAGGCTGCCCCATTAGATCATCGCAAAGTGTTGAACACAATAAAGATTAAATACATAAGCAGGTATGGTACTAAGTTCTACTCCATAAAATAGAGGGTGCCCAGCATAAAATTTTACTTTTTGGAAAACTAAATGGAAAAAAAAGAAATGTATAGAAAATGGTCAATCTTTTTCGTATGGGCCCAGAAGCATAGAACCAAGGCATACATGGAAGTAAATCACATGATATATTTAATGTTTCAAACAATGCATGAAATTAAAACAAGGAAATTTTTTTTAAAAATGTTGGAAAAGGGGAACATGTGAGATAAACTAACCAGTCTCTCCATTTCTTCCTCATACTCCTCTTGCATTCTGGTGTTATATCGTTTCTGAGCTTGCTCACTGTAATTTCCTCGAAAAAAATTGGTATTCTCATCCCACCACGAAGAATTAGATCGCAATCTCAGCTTTAAGAAGCAAACAGAAGGGTGAGGGTAGGATGAAAGAAAAGGAAAAGCAATAACAGTGCAAAATTAAGCATTACTCTTGATCTATCAAATATGAACACATTTATTTTATGCGTACAATAGCTTTAATTATATTTCAGGAGACAATTCTTAGAAACCCCTTGCATGCTTCATAAACAACTCTAAGAAACTTCATCAATCACAATGTTTGAAAACAACCCTCAAACAATATAATATCATTCTATTTTCCAACAATTTTAAAACATATTGTGTTATTCTCTAGTAAGTATGAACATAATTATACATAGGATAATGGTCGTGACTTTGAGCCCTCAGACATTTCTACTCAGGCTATATTCGTGGTGTGGGCTGCTAGCAGTAAATTTCCCAATCCTAGTCATAGAGCACCATAACACTAACTTGAAATATAGGTTTGTTGGAATTTTATGACGATTTTCTTTTAGTATCTTCTATTTTAGTAAATTCTATTTTTAGAATTTAGTATTATCAGTATGTTAAAATTCTTATTTCCTTCCTATAGCATGGGAAATTATGAGTAATTTTATGATTTTCCTAATGAGGGAGTCATTCCCTTCGATTTATCTTGTCATCGTTTCATATGAAATTGAAGAATAATGATTGTTTGACTCTCCCAAAAATCTACATGAAATCATAGCGATGAATTGCTCTCGAATAGCGATCAAACGGGAGATTGAATCTTGTTGGTCTATTCTCATACAAGGCTTGGTCGAGTGATCAATGCTCGGCTATGCTTGGTTAAACACGGTTACCCGAAACAAGGTCACATCGGTTCCACTCAAAAACTAGATTGCCCCTCACCCTTCCCAAACGTCGGATATTTTCCTGGACATCAACAATAGGGCATTGTGAAATCAGCCCACACAGAACCAATTCCAGAGTGAATTTCTTTATCCCTTGAGATAACAATTTCATGTGCACTGCTCTTCTCAGATTCTGACAATGTCATATAAGTCAGTAGTGACGACCAGACAAAGAAACTGTGCTACATCCACCGGTTTCAGTAATTCTGAAACTATATCACCTCACCCTATAGCACCTCTCATAGGTATATCACCTGAGTATTATCCCCATAACTCACGACCTTATCTCACAGCTATAAAACTCAACAAACACAACTATCTTGAGTAGGCTCAATCCATTAAATTGACGATTAACAGAAGGAAAATTTTAGGTATATAAACAGAGACATTTCTAAAAACTATTTCGAATCTGGAAAAATGACAGTCCAAAAATTCCCTAATTATGGTCGGGCTCATCAACTCTATGGAACCTATCATGCAAAGTCATATCTATTCCTTCCCACTACTCGAGATATTTGGGGGGCAGTTCGAGACCTTTATTCAGACTTGCACAATTCATCCCAATTTTGAGTTGAAAACTCAATTTTAAAAACTCAAACAAAATGATCGTGATGTTACTATGTATTACAACGAACTGGTAACATTATGGTAGAAATTTGATCAATGATATGAAAATTTTAGAGTGAATTTGAATGATGCTCTCCAAGAAGAGAGGAAAACGATCCGATCCAAATGTTCTTAGCAAACCTTAATTAGAGTTTAGACGAAATTCGAGGTCGCATTCTTGGTGGGAAAACTTTACCCCTATCCAAGAAATTTTTTCTGAAGTTAGACGTGAAGAGTTAAAAAAAAAATGATGATGTGTAACATAATCTTCTTGTAAAATTGAACATGAGAACTCGACTCTTGTGTCAAAAGGAGTTGATATTGACAAATAAGGGCATAAGAAATTATGGTGCGAGTACTGTTAAAAATCATGTCACACGAATGAAACATCTTGAAAGCTTTATGGTAATTTTGAAAATTGAAAATCAAAATAAATACGTGGAGATCGAGCTTATCAAGCAACTGCAGAAGAAACTTAGGAGCATCCTACTGACTTGAATGCAATCCCTTTCAACCAAAAAGTAATTAGAGCACTTGCACAAATTATTTCCATTTTCAAAATTGTCCCCAACTCTGTCTTGCTCCATGGTACAAAAGGGTAACCCTTTATCAACTATTTTGTTGGGTGTTATTCCTAATTTTTCTCGTTCTTGGATAATTGATTCTGGCATAACAGTCCCGTGACAGACCATTCTAAATTACTCCTCTTATAGACCTCATTAAGACAACAAAAATGTCAAAATTGTCTATGGTTTCCTCTCAGTAATTGTCGAGATATAAACTATCTAACTCTCCTCGCTGTTAATCTTGGCGAGGTTTTTAATAATCCTAATATATCGTGTACCTTGTTGTCCATTCATGAAATTACTACTGATCATCAATGTTAAGCTAATTTTTATATTTCTTATTGTGAGTCAAAAATTGACCACAAAGAGGATAATCAGTAGCACTAAGAAAAATGGACTTTATTATTTTAGCAATAGACTTTATTCAAATCGGTAATGTCAAAGTACTGGTTTAAAATCTGTCTCTGTTTCTAAAAATAATGATATTATGTTATGACATTATAAATTTGGTCATCCTAATTTTCAGTATCTAAAATATTTGTCTTCCAAATTATTTTAGAATGAAATTTTGTCAAAAAAATTGTGTTTGCTGGTTATACTCCTTACCAAAAAGGGTATAAATAGTTTGATGTTAATTTTGCAAAAAAAATATTTGTTACCATGGGAGTTACAAGTATTTTTTCACCTCATATGCAGAGGGAGAATAAAACAAAAATTCAACTACTAAGTTTCAAGATCATCAAACTAAAGACTCACAAAATAGCATCTCTCAAATCTTACTTGTTCAACCTGAAAACCGAAACAATATTATATCGGGAGAAAGTGCGTAAGTCTTTTAGGTATTGAAGACAACTCAGGTTTTCCTACAGTGTCATTTCATGATATTCGAAGAAGAAACAAGAAAAAAAAAACTACTAAATTGGCACAGTTTGATATTGTCTACTCACGACAGTGAACAAACGAGTCTAGCCTTCTTATGATTCCTTGTAAAAAACAAATGCTTGCACCAAACATACATTGTCTCATTATGTGTCGTATGAAAGTCTATCATCCATCTGCTTTTTTACCTCACAATTATATTGTATGGAGATTCTTAGTACTATGCATGATGCTATAAAAGCCCTTAAGTAAGATTGAAGGAGGCTATCCTTGAGGAGATGAAAGCTCTTAAAAAAAAATAGCATGTGAGAATTGGTTGATCTACCTAGAGAAAAGATGATTGTTAGGTGCAAATGGGTGTTTACAATCAAGTATTATTCTAATGGCTTGCTAGAACGGTACAAGGCTCGACTGCATGTCAAAGGATTCACTCAGACCTATGCTATTGGTTATTTATAAACATTCACCCGAATCACAAAGCTAAACTTTGTAAGAGCTTTTTTGTAACTTGCAGCTAATCTTGACTGGCTCTTATAAAAATTGGATACAAAAGGTGCCTTCCTCAAGGGGGACTTGGAGGAATAAATGAATATTGATACACTTTCAAATTTTAGTGAGAAGTTCGACACGAAGGTGGGTAAACTAAATAAATTTTTATGGACTGAAACAACGACCAAGAGCGTGGTTTGAAAAATTTATACTATTTATCATAGGTCAATGTTATATTCAAGTGCAGGGATATACAATTTTCTTCAAACATTCAAATGATTGGAAGAAAGTCAAACTAATTATGTATGTGGATGATATTAATCTCATCGAAAATGATGCATGTGAGACGACCCATTTGAAAACATCCCTATTATCTATTTTTAAAACAATGACTTGGGATCTCTCAGATATTTCATTAGTATTGAAATTATTAGATCAAAAGAAACATATCGTTGTTTTCCAACAAAAGTATATTCTTGATCTTCTAAAGAAAACTGAGATGAATGGATGTAAACTTGCAAATACTCAATTGGTCCCAATCAGAAACTATAAGATATGCAAGAATCTGACTCTATAAATACAGTTCAGTATCAAAAGTTAGTGGGTAAGTTGATATCTATGAAGCACAAACATGAAAACAGGGACATAAACGCGACACAATACGGGGACACGACATAATTGAAAAAAAATATGACACATCATATCATTGATACAATAGGACACGGCATGTCAGTCATGTTTTTATATTTAATTAATTATTAATATAAAATATATTTTTTCATTATTTTTTATTAAAATTATCACAATACAAATTATGCAAGAATAAAATTTAACTTTACAAATTGAATTTATATTATAAAACCTCATACTCGTGAAAATTTGTTTTTAAAAATAGATATAATATGTTTCAAAAGAGTTCATACAACTTATAATCCAACTTATCTACTAAAATTTAAAAAATCCTATGATTACAAAGAGAAAATTACAAATGCTTAGCTTCAACGAATATTGGATTCAGCTACGATGCTCGATTTTCACGAATGTTAGAAGAAGCTTCAACAAGATGAGAGATTGGGTGGTTTTGACTATGAAGTATAATCAAGGCTATAAGTATAATCATAATTTTTCTAATTTTCATGTCCCAATTTCTCGAAATAGTCTTAAGCTCACATCTAATGCGGTGTTAAGGTGTCTAGGACGTGTTCGTGCCTGAAAAAAATTCAGACATGTATTTTTTAGTGTCGAAGAAGAGTCAGGGCATGTCGGACAAGTGTTGGTGTCCGATATGTGTATGACACGGGTACAATATATTTTTGAAAGTGTCGATGCTACATAGATTGGTATACTTATCACATATACGACCAATATTGCCTTTGATGCGAGTTTGGTAAATAAATTTATGCATTCAACCTATGAGAAACAACTTGAAGCAGTCAAAAGGTAATCAACTTCTGGATAAAGTATGTGTGAGGAAACATGATTGCATGTAGAAGAAACAAAATGTGACAACAAAGGGTAATGTTGAGGCAAAACATAGAGCTATACCTAATGGAGTATGTTAGATGTTATAGTTCAAAAAAATTCTTAAAGAATTGTAGATCCTGATAATCATGTCAAG